AGATTTTATTTATTTATTTGACAGAGAGAGACACAGCGAGAGAGGGAACACAAGCAGGGGGGAGAGGGAGAGGGAGAAGCAGGCTTCCTGCCAAGCAGGGAGCCCGATGCGGGGCTCGATCCCAGGATCCTGTGATCATGACCTGAGCTGAAGGCAGACGCTTAACGACTGAGCCACCCAGGCTCCCCACCACTACTATAATCTTAACAGCTGATGGAGTATTGTTTAATTTTGTTTGATGGTCATAGGAGCACTTCAGTTTCTTGTATGATTAGTTCCCTTATTTCCCTCTGGGACAAATGTAGAAATTCTATTTCAGCTGATAAATGCATTCCTATTTGAAATAGTCTTATATCGAGATGCCTGAGTGGCTCAGTCAGTTAAGCGGCTGCCTTCGGCTCAGGTCATACATGATCTTAGGGTCCTGGGATTGAGTCCTGCATGGGGCTCCCTGCTCATCGGGCAGTCGGCTTCTCCTCTGCCTGCCATTCCCACTGCTTGTGCGCTTGCTCGCTCTCTCTGGCCAGTAAATAAAATCTTAAAAAAAAAAAAGCATTGTATCTCGTATAACACAATCATCTTTATTTCCCATGATAGGTATAGAAAAAAGCTGTTAGGCACTTCTTTTCATTTATTTATTTGTAAAGATTTTATTTATTTGAGAGGGAGAGAGCACCAGGGTGGGGAGGTACAGAGGGAGAGGGAAAGCAGACTCCCCGCTGAGCAGGGAACCACTGAGCCGAAGTCAGTTAGATACTTAACTGAGCCACCCAGGTGCCCCAGGCATTTCTTTTAGAATATAAAAGCTCAAATACCTGTGCCAACCATTAAACATTCAAGTGGACGACTCTAGCTAACTTTGTAAAATCATTTCATACTGCTTAAAAATCATAGACATCTGACACACTGGTAAGATCACCTTTTAAAAAAATGACCACTCTTCCAGCAGTAGTCAGCTGTCCAGATAGAGCCATTCCTGTGATGGTGTTACACTGCTGGAAGAGGGCTGTCCTGTCGTCTTCCTCCAGTGGCTTCTGTTGCTCTTCTGGTGGCGCCTGCCGTTGGTGCAAGGCAGAACTGTGCTTCCTTGATAGGGTGCTGAGCGTTCACTCTGGCCGCTTAGCTCTAGTCCGGGAGCAGACATAGTATACCGCATGCTTTCTCTGCATGTTCTAGTTAGACCGCTTTTTCTTTCTCTTTGAGTATTTCCCTTTAATCCTGCTTTATATTCTCTAATATTCCACACTTTGATTTTATTTGATATCCTAAGTATATTCTCCCAGAAAACTTAATTGCAAGCTAGCTTGTCCGTTAAAATGTTTTGGATTTTTTTAACACAGATCAGTTACTGTAAACTTCTTTATAAAATATATTCTAGGTTGTCATTCAAAGTCTTTCTATATTTGATTTATACTTAATAATAAGAGTTTTCTGGGGTGCCTGGGTGGCTCAGTCGGTTGGCGCTAGGTTTTCTGGCTTTGTTCTGTAGCACATTTGGAGCCATCATTGAGAAAACAGGAGGTGCAGAAGATGACCTTAACACAGAAACAGCTGGAACTGTGACAGGCATGTTGTATATATGTACAGGCGGTCTTTGAGGGGTAGCACAAGGTGCTCTGGCAGGACTAATGCTTCCTAGCCTCTGCACACTATATAACTGGGAGCATACGAAAGCCTCCTTGCTCCAACAGTCACTCTGAAGATTTTGACAACTTATGAATGGAGGACACTTTAATAGTCATCTAGATCAATTTATACATCAGCCTAGAGTTACTCTCTCTTCCTACAATTAGTTTGAAACATTGGAGATTCCAGTTTGCTGTGATGAAGATTCATGGATGGAGGCACCTGGCTGGCTCAGTCAGTAGAGCATGTGACTCTTCATCACAGTGTCATGAGTTCCAGCCTCATGTTGGGCATAGCTCTAAAAAAAAAAGAAAGAAAAAGATTCATGGATGGTTGACCAGGACTGGCACTCCTTCCAGCCATTGAGTTAAAGCCAAAACCCTCTGGTAGCTGAGTAATGTGGTTTTCTCCTACCCCCTGCACTGGAAAACTACTTACTCCCAGAATTCAGGTCATGATTGTTGTTGTACTGTATCACCACATTTGTTTATTTAATGATCTGAAACTGTAATGTTGCTTTGTATTCCCAGTAAAATAGAAAAAAATTTAAAAATTTAAAACAATTAAAAAGTAACTGCTCAATAATTTACACTCATAAACAACTTACATTTATATAACTTATAATTTTAAAAGGACTGTTAGATTTATCTTACTTATTTGACCTATGAGGAATGAATACTGTTCTATTTATTTAATTTATTTATTTATTTTTTATTTTTTTAGAATTTTTTTTTTTTTTAATTTATTCATTTGAGACAGAGAGAGAGAGAGAGTAGGAGTAGTGCGGAGAGGCAGAGGGAGAGGGAGAAGCAGACTCCCCACCGAGCAGGGAGCCCGATGCGGGGCTCGATCCCAGGACCTGGAGATCATGACCTGAGCCAAAGGCAGACGCTTAATGACTGAGCCACCCAGGCGCCCCCTATTTATTTTTTTAAAGGGAGGTAGGGTGGGAGAGGCAGAGGGAGCGAAAGAATCCCAAGCAAACTCTACGCCTAGCTTGGAGCCCAACGTGGGACTCGATCTCACAACCCTGAGATCGTGACCTGAACTGAAATCAAGAGTCAGACACGTAATCAACTGAGCCACCCAGGCACCTGAAGAATACTATTTTAATTATTTTATAAGGGAGGACTAAGACTGAGATTACTTGACCAAATTTTTTTAGGCAGTAACCCAGATGTAAGCTCCAAATTCTGTAGTCAAATGGATTAAATTTAGAATACATAATGATTTTTTTTCACATACAGAATCTTCTATCTGAATATATCCTTTGTAACTTTGTGACTGGGTACTGTTATCTTTTTTTTTTTTTTAAGATTTTATTTATTTATTTGACAGAGAGATAGCGAGAGCAGGAACACAAGCAGGGGAGTGGGAGAGTGAGAAGCAGGCTTCCTGCCGAGCAGGGAGCCCGATGTGGGACTCGATCCCAGGACCCTGGGATCATGACCTGAGCCGAAGGCAGACGCTTAACGACTGAGCCACCCAGGCGCCCCAAACTTTTTTTTTTTTTTAATTTTTAAAAATTTTTTTTTAATTTTTATTTTAAGTAGGCTCCACACACCGTGGGGGGCTTAAAATCATGACCCTGAGATCAAGAGTGGTATGTTCTACCAACTAAGCCAGCCAGGCGCCCGTGGGTACTATTATCCTAGATCAAATTTTTAGTTTTCTGGTTCATCATTTATGTCGAAAATCATTGGTTATCCCTTTTGAGTAAATTAGAAATAAATTTTGAAGACAAGTCATAATAAACTAACTATTTTTGATATGGAATACAGTGTTGCTGGTTGCCAGCTGCTTAAAATAAAACTCAAAATCTGGTATAATGAATTAATAATAATTGTTTCCTTGATAGGCAGAGGAAGAGTTCAACATTGAGAAAGGTCGTCTTGTGCAAACCCAAAGACTGAAGATTATGGAATACTACGAGAAGAAAGAAAAGCAGATTGAGCAGCAGAAGAAAATGTACGTAGATCCTCGTACCGTATCAGCTAAGGAAGCTTTAAAAAGTCAGTGGGACGGGGTGCCTGGGTGGCTCAGTTGGTTGAGTGACTGCCTTCGGCTCAGGTCATGATCCCGGAGTACTGGGATCGAGTCCCGCATCGGACCCCCTGCTCAGCAGGGAGTGTGCTCCTCCCTCTGACCCTACCTCCTCTTGTGCTCTCTCTCACTCTCTCTCTCTCGGAAAAAAAAAAAGTCAGTGGGACAAGAGGACAGAGCAGGTGCTTTGGAGTCAGGCAGGTATGGGCTCAAGTCTTAACTGGACCACTTAATATACTTGTATGACCTTGGGCAAGTTGTGTAATTTCTTTTTCTTCATTTGTGAAAATGGAAGCATCACAGGATTATTGAAAGAAAGTTGTAATAACTGATATGAAAGTGCTTGCCACTTGGTAAGCACTCAATAAATACTTAAATATCTTTGAAAATAAGTTGGTAGAAACCACTAAATGTATTTCAGTGGGGTTCTCTGAGGTATATACAAAGAGAAGTATCTGTACATACAAAGGAAGCTGTATATTTATTTCTCTGCAGTTTTTTTCTTATGCTATACTGATACTATTTTTCCATACCTTTTGCAGTAAGATGTCTAATTTGATGAATCAAGCAAGGCTCAAAGTCCTCAGAGCAAGAGATGACCTTATTACAGTGAGTAATTTGCTCCTATTACAAGATTATAAAATGTTTATTCACTTACCTATTATAGAGAATTCACTAGTTAGCATTAGCGAATTAAGGAGTTGAATGATTTCTTGAGAAAAAATATTTGGTCAGCAAATCATTATACTAGGTTTTGTAATAAATACAAAGTGAAGGGTGCCTGGGTGGCTCAGTCGAGCGTCCGACTCGATTTTGGCTCAGGTCATGATTTCAGGGTCATGAGATTGAGCCCCGAGTCGGGCTTTGCCCTCAGCATGGAGTCTGCTTGGAATTCTCTGTCTCCCTGTTCCCCACCACCATGCGCTTGGGAAGTATTGTCTTCTAAGGAAGAAGTTAGAAACCTACAGAAACATACCACTTAGTTGAGAAAGTTTAAAGGTATTCACATTAGCCTACCTGGCTCAGTTGGTAGAGCATGCAACTCTTGGTCTCAGGGCTGTGAGCTTGAGCCCCACATTAGGTGTGGAGTTTACTTAAAAAAAATTGTGTTCACATAAAGGTATTTGAATTATATTTTAGGAACCAACTAGGATGCCTGCTGTCTTCACTGTTCTTCATTGTTATATTGGAGGCCCTAGATTCCTTTAAGATGGAGAAATAAGAATTATATACAAACTGGGAAAGAATAAAGATTTTTTGCAGATGTGATTTCCCACACAAAAAAATAACATCTAAAAAGTAATAAGAACTAGTAATTAGTTTAAAATGGTGACTGGTGTGGAGCACCTGGGTGGCTCAGTCGGTTAAGCGTCTGCCTTTGGCTCAGGCCATGATCCCAGGGTCCCGGGATCAAGTCCCGCATCCGGCTCCCTGCTCAGCGGGGAGCCTGCTTCTCCCTCTCCTGCTCCCCCTGCTTGCGCTCTCTCACTCTGTCAAATAAATAAAATCTTAAAAAAAAAAAACAACAAATGGTGACTGGCTACAGAGAGAATATACAGAAATTAATAGTTTTTCTGGATCCCAACAATAACCAGTTAGCATGTAAAAAAAAAAAAGATTCTTTTATAATGGTTAAAAAATTACTAAATTATTATGAATTATTAGTAAATAAGATCTAAATGAAAAAACTATATAAAACTAAAAGTATAAAACTTGAATAAATGGAAAGCATACCATTTTCTTAGAAGATTAAAGAAACAAACTAATATTGTAAGCTATCAATTCTTATTAGGTTAATCTGGTGTGGCAGCACTGAGAATGGACTTGGTGTGTCAGTGTTGACACATTTTGCAGGGAGACTTTCCAGACATTGACTAATGGTTGACTTCTCCTCTTCCAAGTCCAATGCTAAATACTGAATTTCAGACCTGGCTTACTAGGAGAATGGTGGTTCTATTAATGAAATGGGAAGTTAGGAGGACAAACTTTTTTGGACATACTTTAAGGGGCCAAGAAACCTCCAGTTGGAAATGTCTGTCAGGATGGTAAATAAGGGGCTGAAATTCAGGACAACAGAGATCACTTATTAACATAACTCATAATACTTCAAATTCGAATGCTTTTAAATTCTAGGAATGTGTGGGGCATCTGCCTTTGGCTCACGTCATGATCTCAGGATCCTGGAATCGAGCCCCATCGGGCTCCCTGCTCAGTGGGGAGTCTGCTTCTCCCTCTGCCCCTCCCCCCGCTTGTGTGTGCACACTCTCAAATTTTTTTTTAAGATTTTATTTTTTTGTCAGAGAGTGAGCATAAGCAGGGGGAGCAACAGGCAGAGGGAGAAGCAGACTCCCTGCTTAGCAAGGAGCCTGATGTGGGACTTGGTCCCAGGACCCTGAGATCATGACCCAAGCCTAAGGCAGACGCTCAACCAACTGAGCCACCCCGGCGCCCCATAAATAAAAATCCTTAAAAAAAGTTAAAAAATAAATTCCAGGGGGGCACCTGGGTGGCTCAGTTGGTTAAGCAACTGCCTTTGGCTCAGGTTATGATCCTGGAGTCCCGGGATTGAGTCCCACATCAGGCTCCCTGCTCAGCAGGGAGTCTGCTTCTCCCTCTTCCCTACCCCCCTCTCATGTGCTCGCTCTCTTTCTCTCTCTCTCAAATAAATAAAATCTTAAATAAATAAATAAATAAATAAATTCTAGGAATGTGGGAAAATAGGAAATCTGTTGCTAAGTTATCTTCCCACATGGGAATGAATAGTTCATCCTTTATAAAATACCAAAAAGAGGACTGGAGAGCTTTTTGTGGAAATGTTGACTGCAAAATACCTCAGGACAGCTGTTACCTAGTGTCTTCACTAAAATGTTGAGTTTCAGTAATCAGTGGTTGGTTTGCTTCCACAGGATTCAAATTTCTTTAGCAACCTGATTGACAGTTTATAAGTTGGACTTAGAATAATAACCACCTTAGGGGGGTGGTTTCTTGTAGAAGAACTTGGGCTTTAAGAGTATTTCAGCTTTGGGGTGCCTGGGTGGCTCAGTCGGTTAAGCATCTGACTCTTAATTTCGGGTCAGGTCATGATCCTCAGGATCATGAAATCGAGCCCCATGTGGGGCTCTGCGCTGGGAATGGAGCCTGCTTGGGCTTCTTTCTCTTCCTCTCCCTCTGCCCCTTCCTCTCTCAGGGGGAAAAAAAAAAAGTCTTTCAGCTTTGCCATGTTAGTTTGAGTAAATTATTATTTCTGACCCTCGGTTTCCTCTTTGGTATGTATTAATTATGATACTTGGTTCAGAGGGCTGGGGTTTTGTTTCCTTTTTTTTTATAGTTTTATAATTATTTAAAAACCAAATTTATTTTTGGGCTCCATGCTGGGTGTGGAGCCTGCTTAAAAAACAAACCAAATTTATTTTTACACAAGTGTTATATATAGCACATTAAAAAATCTAAAGAATCAAATCCATAAAGGTTTATGCCAACAAATATCAGTTTCTTGGCCCTATTGAAACACAGGGTTCTTAAGCTCTTACGAGGATTGAATGCAAGAACGCATTTAATTCCTCTAGCTTAACACTGGCATATGGTGTTTATTTAAGAAGTGTTACTTGCCTTTCTCCATCTCATTTCCTCCAGGTGGTAACCCTTCTTTGAATAGGTCTTGATAGTTGAAATATTCTCCCAGCTTCTTGGTGCCTTTGCTCTTAAAGCCCCTGGACCATAAGTTGCTGTATCTTTGATAAATGCCCAGAGTCAAAAATGACAACTGTGACAGCTACTGGGTAGATGCTGTTACTTGTACAATTCAAGAGTTTAGAGACCTGTAACTTAAATATCTCAGCAGCATTCCTCAAGATGAGTGCCAAGGGTTATAGCACATATTGTTAAATGTTATAATTTGACCAGTTAATAGGTTTTGTATTTGCTTTATCTGGTTTTATGCTGCCTTTTTTGAAGATTAATGATACTAAAAGTGGGAAAGATCCTAAGAAAGGTCATCTCTAATATACTATAGAAATGCTTTTGGGGCGCCTGGGTGGCTTAGTTGGTTGGCGACTGCCTTCGGCTCAGATCGTGATCCCGGAGTACTGGGATCGAGTCCCGCATCGGGCTCCCTGCTCAGCAGGGAGTCTGCTTCTCCCTCTGACCCTCCCGACCCTCCCCCCTCTCATGTGCTCTCTCTCT